ACAGATATATATTTATATTTCTTTATATACACATATCTAGAGCAAACATGAGCAAATGAACCTCAATAAAAATATCAATTCATAGTTAACTTAAACACTAGGAGAAACAGTATTTTGAGTGACCTCTTGAGTTGCACAGTAAATGGCATATATGCTAAGGCCAGAAGGAACTGTAAAGAAATTTGCAGCTTCATTCCCTTGGTTTATTGCTAGTTGTAATACCAGAACTTTCTCTGGGTACCGTGTGATATAAATTGTAGGATAAAACCAGTTGAGTCTTTCTGCTGTTATGTTAGGAGCCAATAGAGATGTAAGTGTAAAAATCAAAGAAGCTAACCAAGCAAAAAGAAAACCTAAATAATACTCAGTTTAGATTATAAATCCCACTATGAATTCATTATTTAAAATATATATTTCTTTTTTTCCTTTCCTTGAGACATTGTCTTGCTGTGTAGCCTAGGTTAGCTGTGAACTCTTGGTGATCTTTTCCTGCCTCAGCCTCCCGAGTGTTGGGATTACAGGCATGTGCCTCTATGCCTGGTTTTTAATCTGAATTTAATCGAACTTTTAGTGTTTCCCTTATAGTTTGCAGGTTACAGGACAAAGGGCAGGAGATGCAGCTCAGTGGTGGATCACGTGCCTGCTGTGCGCAATCTCCGAGATTCAGTCAGTAGCACCGTAACATAAATAACAGACAAAAAAGTAAGATGTGGGTGATGAAGCATTGGGGCTGGCTGGGCTGTGTATGTAGTTGTGTGGTAGGCCCTGGAGTTGATCCCCGCCACGTGCAGAGAGATTAAATGTTACATTGAGGAAGCAGAAAAATTCAGAATGTTCAATACAAGTGAACTGGCCGTTTGCATGAGCCAATCAGTGTCATGGGGAAAAGCGGGCAGAATAGATGAGAGTAGATTGTATGAGCAGCTTTAAGTTTATGGTGTTGGTGATGGGTGTATAGGTGTTTGTGTGTAATGTGCATGTCCGTGTGTACACAGTCCTCTGTGTGAAATCTATATGGTAAAATGTGAAATTTTCTGTTGGTGGACATCTAGGTTGTTTGCAGTGTTGTCTTATTACCAGTAGTGTCTCTGAACATTGTCACGCGTGTTTCCCTCTTTGTGCACACGTTGAAGAGTACACAAATGGGGTGTCACCCCTGGGCAGAAGGTGGGGCGGATGTTGGCCACCCAGCTGTTCTTCCTGACTGTGCTGGTGAGAGGCACCTTCCAGGAGGCAGGCGTTCTGAGCCCAGTGGGATTACTGTGGGGCACTGCCTGGCTGCAGGCGTGGAAGCGAGAGGCCACGGTGATGGTGCCGGCGTGAGGGTCGGGCTGGGAGGTGCGGGAAACCTTGGTGAGGAGGATCACAACGTATGTGTTCTTTGTTGGCAGGATATTGATGCTTTACCATTGCTACTTGCGACAGCCAGCAGTTGACTGGCTTCACTGTGTGAGGAGCAGGTAAGTTGTGCCTCCCTGATGGACTCAGCCGCTTGGTCGGGCTGTCTTCACCTTCTGTGTACACTAAGAAGTAGTTGAATGCCATAGAGTCGGTGCCTTTAAAAAGTTTGGGCTAATGATTGTAACTTCTGCCCCACAGAAAAGTGTATAAACCACATTTAAACATTCTAGTAGCTGCATTAAAAAATAGGCAAAGTTTATTTTTAAATAGATTTAATCTTTTTTTTTTTTTTTTTTTTGAGTTTTCAGGCTTTGTTTATTTCAAGTATTCTTTTTTTTTTTTCCCAGCTTTAATTGAGTTTGTTGGTACAGTACAGTTACATTCATTGTTGGGATCTTGTACCTCTACATGACAAGTCTTGATTCTCATTTTTTCCCCTTACCTCTGCCCTCCCTTCACCCCCTCCTCCTAAATAGATTTAATCTTCATGTTCAAAGTACTAGATTTTTGCTTTTTTTAAAAATTAAATTTATTGGTACACTTTAGGTGTACATAATGAGCAGAGTCATCAGAGGGAATTTGTACTTATAATATCTTGAGTCTTTTTTTTTGGACCGGGGATCAAACTCAGGACCTTGCACTTGCGAGGCAGGTGCGGTGCCACTGAGCCAAATCCCTTGCCCAGTGTCTTGAGTCTTAATTCTTCTTTTTTCCCCCAATCCTCTCCCTGCTCCCTTTAACCCCTCTTTATTTACAACAGTTTTGTTTTCATTTCTTCTTTTTTTTTTTGTTTCGCTTCCTTCGTTTCTTCCTCTCCCCGTTTGGACATTTTCTTCCTGATTCCCAATAACTGTTACACATTTAGCCCCTATTTGCCCCTTCGGTTTCTCACACCAGAGAAACAATTTGGTATTTACACACGTGTCCAGTTTATTTCACTCAGGAGTGTGGTCTCAAGGGGCATCCAGTTTCCTAGAAATTGAGTTTATCCCTTTTGGTGGCAGAGTAGTACTTTATTGTGTATAAGCAAAACAAGACCCATCTTTATCTATTCATTGGTTGGTGGGCACCAAAGCAGTACCGTTTCAAACAAGTAATCACTATACAAAAAGCAGTTAGCGATAGTTCACATTCCCCTTTGGCACTAAGTCTTCAGACCTGCCGCGTGGTACACTTGCAGCGTTTCCCATGTGGGCCAGCCGTGCTTCGGTGCTCAGTAGGCTTCCTGTGGCTCTGGGCTCGTGTGCCGGACCCTCAGCTCCAGACACAGACGACGACGATGACGACGGGCAGCCTTCAGTCACAGAGTTACTGACTGGGTCCCTGGGGGTGGCCTTGGGCTCATCTTGCTTCACAGTCCTCCTTCTGCTTACTAGGATATTCTGGCCTCCTGCCCAGACTGGTCTGGATTCTACTAGTTCAGGTGCAGAAGTAACTGCGGGTCCCGGTGAAGCAAGTGTGTAGATTTGTTATCCTCATAATTGCTCTCCTGATTCAGAAAGCAGGACTGACCTCAGAGTTTGGGGGCTCTGGCTGTGTCGTTTAGGGAGCTGCCAGTAGAAAGAGACTCAGGCAGGTTCCAGCCTTGTCCCATAATCAGGAATTCTGTTAAAGCGGGGCTGACTTAGGAACTAAGTAAGCATTCTGTTAGTTGTGCTGATTCCTAGAAACTGTGCAGCTTAATTTACACTCAGACTAGAACGTCAGGACTTTATTGACTGTCTCATGGATTCTGGAGCCAACTATCTCGGCTCTGTTCACATGGCCAGGAAGCAGGGGACGTTGGGCAGTGTGGCCTATCCTGCCTGATTCCATTATCTATAAAATGCTCCCAAGCCCGATTGCTCTTTCTAACTTTTTAAGATTGAATTAGATGCATGTGATTTTAGATTGTGTATATAGTACGTAAGTGCTGTATGTGTAATGTGGGGCTTCTCACTGCCTCACGCGGGCGAGTAATGGGTCGGAGGAGAGCCCGAGCATGCTCTGCACGGGGTGAGGGGCTAGGAAGGACACACCAGGTGTAGAGCAGGGTCTCGGGAGAGAATGCCTTTTTATAAAGGAGGTCAGAAAGGTGCGAGAGGCTTGCTGTGTGTGGTGGGAGAAGTTCTAGGCCCCAGTTCCCGAGTTAGCCTGGAAGACAGGTGAGCGGCGAGTTCCATCCGGCCGTGGGGGTGACGCTCTTGCTCGCCTCTCTGAGGACAAGCCAGGCTGGTCTTCTTGAGACCCTTCGTGAAGTAGCACAGTCACAGGTTCTGGGGGTTAGGATGTAGACATCTTTTCAGGGGGCCGTTACTCTGCCTGCTGCAGTTCCGCAGGACTGTGCAGCCAGTGTTAGTAAGAAAAGCGTTGGGATCTGTGTGTACAGACACTGGAGACCTCTGATGAAACGGGGTTCCTGTTCACTGAAAACAAGCAAGTTGCAGAACAGGATGATACGATGCCTTTCTTGTGTTTTTGTTTTAACAAAGACTTTATACATGTAGAAAGATCTACACATAATACACAGAAGGAAAGGTATGACTTTGAACTATGTATTTCTTGTACGCAATGAGCACATATTTGTTTACTCTTATTTTTATAAAAATATGAGACATATGACAAAGACCCATGGTCTTCTGTGTCATTTTCCCCCACTCTAAACCCTTTTTCTTTTTCTTTTTGGGGGACTGGGGATTGAACTCATGACCTTGCACTTGCAAGGCAGGTGTGGTGCCCTGTGAGCCCACCCCTCGGCCCCCAAACCCTTTTTATAAATCCTTTATAAATTATTTATCTATTTTATAAATCTTTTAGCTACCGATTCTTCATCAGATTGTGTAAATCTTTTGATTCTTTGAATCTTAGTTTTTTTGCTAGAATTTCCCTCCATATTTCCAAATAACAATATTATGCTTTATCTTGATTTCTTTCCCATTTTAGATATCTTTTGACTTTACCTGTGAATATGGCACTTCGGCTCTGTTAAGCCCCTCCTGTTTCTTCACTCTTCTTTCTTGATAGTATTGCCCTGAAAATCTTGCTTGCATTAGTATCGATTGGTTAGTACAACCCTAGAACTATTATTTTTAGCTGCTTACATCCACAACAAAGGAAATGTAATCTACCTATACACATACATAAAGAAAAAAAATTTTTTCCCCTTTCCTTTGAAAAACGGTTATTTTTTTCCTTCTGTCTAGCTTTCTTGTGTCCATCGTTAACCTTCCATAACTCTCCGGGGAAGTTTGGCTCCCCGCGATGGGGACTCAGCAGCCTGTCTCTGAGGCCCTTTCTGGGTCTGGGTGTGGCTCCGCCATGAGGTGACCTCAGAAGCCCCATGTCTTCCATCCTACTACTTAGGTTGCCCCCCTGTTTTCTGGAGCCCCTGCTTCGGCTTTGTGCTTCGCTCCTGGGTTTGGTGAGCACATCTTCCAGTGATTTTTTTGTTTTGTTGAAGTTGAAAAGGAGAAAACCCCACTAGATAAAGTCAAAATTAGGGAAAACCCAAATGTGCCTGCGTTCAGATGCTGATTTTCCCCTTTCAGAGTAACTACACAGGGAGACAAGTTTAAACACTGGGAGAACAGCCTCCTTTCTCTCCCAGCAGGATCCCAGTGTTCGCTGATTTAGGACCCAAGAAGAGGAAAGGTTAAAAATGTGGATCTTATCTTCAGATCAAAACTACTGTTCTTTGGTAAACACTTTCAGTTTTCACTTGCCTCTGCTTTGCAAAATAGTGAGGGTGACCTTGGCAGGGCTCTACAGGTTGAAATAAAGATAGTAAGTGATAAGTAGAGATAAGATAATGATAAGATTTAGCAAGATGCTAGGGACTGTTTCTGTTGTCATGGACTGACTTCTTCCCTCCCTGGGGCTCCCTGCTGCTGTCCTCCTCCCTCCCTGCTAGACTCAGGGCCTCATAGCCTGGGGGGGCAGGTGCTCTACCACTGAGCTACACCCCTGGCCCTTCACGTTGTTTTCTTATGAGAATGTGGACGGTTTAGTTCTGATGCTCATGGGTATTTTCATACACATAGTTACACGCATGGCTTTAATATGTTAACGGTTACTGGGAGTCAGGTTTACCTCTTTTTACTATTTAAAGCTGCTATTCATAATCTGATTTTTTGCATCAAAGATTTATTAGCTTATCTTTAATTGTGTTGGGAAGCTTTTTGATAGTTTCTTTTTAATTACATGCATAATATGTGCTCATTATAGCAAACTTCCAAACTAGAGAAGTTACAAAAGGGAAAATTTTACTATTTTTACTACTATGTTATATTGTTTTCAGATATTTTCAGTGCATTTTCTAACAGTTCAGATCATGATGAATGTAGAGTCCTAATTCTTAAACTGTTGCATTTACAGTGTTTGTAAATATTAAATAAATGTGTTTAAAAGGTATATTTATCTTTTAGAGGTCTGTACTAAAGTATTTACAGTTGAAATAAGTTAAATGTCTAATAATTCAGAATAATGTGTAAGGGTAGCAAGTGGATTTGCCATAAACTGATGATACTTGATGAGTTAGTGGCTCGGGGAATTCATTATACTATTGTCTACTCTTGTACATACTCAGAAAATTCACATAATAAAATAATAGGCTACAGTGTTTCATTATATCTTCATTGTCTTTAACCATTATTTGTGTCGTGCATTTGTTTTTCTTTATTTTAAAGTATTTCTATGGATATATTTATGTTTCAAATACCTTATGATGGATTACTAGGAGGAGAATTACTGCATTAGGGTATCAACATTCATGAAGGCTTCTGGGGCTGCCTTGCTTGCTGAAATGCTAGAGGAATTTCACTGAATTTGTAATTGTACTTTTTGAGCACAAAAATGATACAGTAAGTTCATTCTAAAAATTCAGTGTAAGCTTTTGAGTATGTCAAAATAGGTCTACTGTGTTTGTTATTCATGTTCTTGTTCAAGAGTACTAATGACCATTTATGTGGATCTGGTACTTTGCAGTTTGATACAGCATTTTCATACCCAGCACATGATGTCGGCCTCACAACTGAGGATGTCTGTACAAAGCTTCCAAGTGTAATTACTGGTAGTAACTCCCGCTATCACTAGATCGCTCTTTCTGCAAGTATAAGATGAGCAAAAGGCTCCTGTGTTACTACTGTGTTTCTCTGTTTTAAAGAGTTAAAAAAGTACTGGTCTCTGTCAGATTATGATAAGCATTTTAGAGATGGTGAAGAAGTACAGGGTAGAATTCATTTCAGTGATGTTTTGTGGTTTGTCTTCTCAAGGAGAAAGGAGCGTTAATGAGATGGCATGAAGAGCCATAAGCATATTTTCAGCATTTTTTCCCCCCTTTTCTTGGTACCAGCGGTCTCCTCCCGACCAAGGGGTGGTGACACTGAGCTACATTCCTAGCTCCAGCTTTTTTTGTTTGTTTGTTTGTTTGTTTTGTACTGGGGATCAAACTCTGTGACGTTACACTTGCAAAGAAGGCGTAGCACCACTCAGCATTTTTAACCTCCTTTAAAATTTACTGAATTAAATTGTGTTCTTTCATTTATTGGGGGAAAAGTTGTTTGCCACACTAATAAGCAACATTTTAAAAGATCACTAACCCTGTAAATAATACTGTTTAAGTCTAGAACTTTATCTGTGAGGATTCAATGAGTAGACAGTGAGCAGGGTGAGCGGGGCCTGGAGCTCTGGGCTCCCGGTCAGTCGTGTTGTCTGAATGCAAAAACTGAGTTCCCTGAAGCTTCAGAATTATTCCACTGTGATGTCTACCCTTCCTTTCAGTGAGAATTAAATGGTTGCTGTGTTTGGCTATTTTTTTGTTAAAGTGTTAGCAATTATTTTAAAGTTAGAGCATCTTTGATTTTGGTCTTGCTTGATCTTATGTAGTTTCTTTCATTACCAATCCTATTAGATCTGTTGGTACTTTTTTTATAATATATTCTTTCTGCCAACTTGGAGGGAAATCATAACTAGTATTTCCTATTTGCATAATTTCATAAAGTTATACCTTGTAATACAACAGAGAAATAGGAGGGAAGCAATGTAGAATAAAATTTGTTAAGCTCTGTAAATACTCAAGCGGACTGTACCAGATAACACTGGGAAGGGGAGGAAGGTGTGCATTTGTATGTAAAACCTTCAGAGTGGCTGGGGAATTAGCTCAGTGGTTCCACACCTGCCTCGTAAACGCATGGTTCTGAGTTTGATCCCGGATACCGCAAAAAACAAAAGCAAAAAACCAAACAAAATCGGTAAAGTGTAGTAGAGAGGGCTTCCTACCATTAATCCCTAAAATGCCTTCATAAATACACAAAAGGCCCACTAGGGGGCAGCACAGCCTCCATTAAGAGCCACTGCCGCCTAGTTTCCAGCTGGGTTAACCTGCTAATCTGCTGCACAGCCCTATTGTCATAGGGCTCTTTTTTTTTTTTTTTGGTTTTTGGTTTTTGAGACAGGATCTCACTATAGTTGAGACTGACCTTGGAACTCACTACATAGCCCAGGCTGGTCTCGAACTCATAGCGATCCTCCTGCCTCAGCCTCCCAAGTGCTGGGATTACAGGCGTGTGCCACCATGCCCGGCAAAACATTTTTTTTTTTTTGGTACCGGGCATCGAACTTGGGTCCTTGCACTTGCATGGTAGGCGTCTGCCTCCCAAGTGCTGGGATTACAGGCGTGTGCCACCATGCCCGGCAAAACATTTTTTTTTTTTTTGGTACCGGGCATCGAACTTGGGTCCTTGCACTTGCATGGTAGGCGTTGGAACCACTGAGCCAAATCCCTGGCCCTTTCATGGTGTTTTAAGGTGAGAGTAACTGAAGTATCCTAGGTTCTGAAATACAGTATATTTTGAATACTTTTAACAGTTGGAGAATTGCATTTGGTCAACTGCTTTGTTTTTTTTCAGTGCTCATAAGCAGACCAAGAAGTTATTTTTTTCACTCCTCCCATGTAGAAGGCAGGAGTATATAACTTAATATTATTGACTTGCTTGGCGGTCGTGTAATTTGTCCCTTTAAAAAAGACAAGTTAGGAAGGCAGTGTGGTCTGATTGTAGAAGTGCTGTAACATGAAAGGAAAGTTTCCTGTAATCATCCAGTCCTAATGTTAGTTAATATTTTGTTCTTTATGTGCATATTGAACATTCAAAATTAATTTTATATCTGTTCACTTAATGTGACATACTTTTGATGTTATTTAGCCTCAAAACTAAATTGTCTTGTTCTTTTAGATTGTACACTTTAACCATTTTTCTATGATTCGGTTAACATAAAAATGACTATATGTAATGTGTATGTACATAGCCCACTGATAAATCTATTTCAGTCTATTTCTATTTTTGGATAGATTCTCAAAGATGGACTCATTTATGAGACTTACAGGCTTGAGCAATTCTCTAAGTTTTGGTGAATTTGCTAAATAGACTTAAAGCTGATCTATTTATGTTGCTGTCCAGCATATTTGAGCTGTCAGTATATGGAAGTACCTTGACCGCACTGTGCATTACTTTTAAATTATTTGCATTACATTTATTTGACCATCAGTGACCCTGAACATTTTTTCCGCTAGTCATTTTTTGTGATAAACATTCCTTTTCTGCTATTTTGCTTAGTTGATTTTCTCATATGTAGGAGTTTCACATTTTTGTGAGGCTTAATTATTATTTGCCTGTATAAGAAAGTATGTGACTTCAAAGAGAAGAGAGAACTTGGGAAAGGAGATGTTCTAACTCTATATGGGACAAAGGACTGATAGCTGGCGTGAAGGTGATAATATTCACAAATTAGGAAACGAAGGGCAGATGGTTAATATAAAAAATAAGCAAAAGCCCTGAAGAGGCCCTTCAAGAGATCCAGATAGCTACACCATGTAGCACTAGGTGGGCTGAAGGAGAGCAGACTTGGTTATTTCCTGTGTAAAGCATTTAAAAATGTATGTACTGTGAAAGATGCGTTTCATTTTACAGCTAAGTTTATATTGACACTTGTGCATTTGGAGTGTAGGTGCTGTGTTTGTTTTGTGGTCCAGGGTAGATTTTACTGTACTTGTGTAAGAGAGAGGTCAGTTTTTGTTTTTCTTTATCCTTATGCAATCTTTAGTGGGAAATTATTATTACTGCAGTGTTTTTGCCTTTTGAACATGATGTTAATTTTTACAGTTAAGCCACTACATGTTCTGTAGGGAGAAAACATTACAGTGATCTCTTTAAGGGTCTTAGTGCACTTAGTGGGATTGAGGACTTTCTTGAAATTTAGAGAGAATGGGAGTTGAAAGGAAAGGAAATCAGAAAAGTCAGGGGTTGAAATGTCACAAGTGTCATAATGCATGCTTTAAAAACCTACATAAAATCCACAAATACATGTGTTAATCTTCATAGACTATAATGTGAATGATTTTTGTCATTACAAATGGAGCACTTCCAGGAAATTCTCCTAAGTCCTGTGACAGATGCTTGTTTTGGGTGCGTACAGCTCACCTGGTTGTTGTGTAAGCCTCCTAGTGTCAGTGGCAATTCCCGGTCACCCCTGTGCTTAGCTGTTCTCGTAGAATCTCTCAAAAATAGAATGATTTAGTGTACTATTTCCTCTCAGGCATCTTTTTTATAACTGTCCCTTCAGGTTTCTGACATCCCTTCTGATTCTGTCGTACATTCTGTTTTTTCCTGGCAGAAGAGCCCTTTTGAGCTCCATCTGCCCGCTCCTTTCTTACACCACACTCCCGTCTTTCCTTCTTGCTAGTAGCTGAGCACACAGGCCTGTGCCTCCTCTCTTCCAGCTTTTGCCCCCTTGCCTGCTCCACTTGCTTAGCCCTCCAAGAGCGAGGTGAGGTGAGACAGTCACACCCCAGGTACAACTCCCCCGTGTTCCCTGTCACCCTGCCCTTCCTGCAGACCTGAATCCTGCCTGTCTGCCTTTCCTTCAGGTACCTGTGGTGGAACATTTTACAGTCTTCCAGCTGGGAATTTTCTAGGCCTGCAGACTTCATCGTCCCTGAATCTGAGCACCTTTGGTACATTCAGATCTTCCTTTGCTTATGTACTTGTGCCACGATCTTTCTCAGACACATATTTTTATTTTTTTTTATTCAAGAGGATGCCCCCCACTTCCTCTCCAAATATCCTGAATTCAAGATACAGTGGTATCTCCAGCTTCTTAGACATACTCTCTACTCAGAATACTCAGACTCTCTTTTCAGTATTTTCATGGACTTTGAATTGTGCCTTTTTCTGGTTAAGTATAAGTTCATGTACAAGAATAGGAAATAACATTTTAAAATTCCAGACACAATTACTGTTGCAAAAATAAGTTACAGATTTAGCTTCACTTGCGTCAGTAACTTATTTACTTATATGAAAAATGATCTTGTTATACCTCTGAAAGTGAGAAGTTACAGTTTTTAAATGTTCGATTAGCTGTTCTCTTTTCTTTCTTTTACCTCTTCTGTCTTTACCAGCTGTATTTGAACACTTCTAATTAATTTTATCCTAGAAAAGAACTTAATATGCAAGCAAAATACATTGCCAAAATCCAAGTATGAATTGCTTTTGTCTGCTCTGTACTTTTAGGTCAACCATACCCTAACCTTTGAAGAGGTAATTAGGAGTGGACTTACTAAAAGACAAGAAGGGAAAGCCATGTGGTCATGTGTGGTGGGGATTCTGATGTGTATCTCCTTATGTGTTCCGTTCAGATGTCCCTGGTAGATTTGGGAAAGAAGCTGTTAGAAGCGGCACGTGCAGGTCAAGACGATGAAGTTCGTATTTTGATGGCAAATGGAGCTCCTTTCACTACAGACTGGGTAAAGAATGCCTGTTGTGTTTCTTTTTTTCTTTTGGTACTGGGGATTGGACTCGAGTCCTTGCTCTTGTGAGGCAAGTGTTGGAACCATTGAGCTAAATCCTTGGCCCTCCTCATTTTTGAGTTTTTTCAGATAAATATTTAGCACTGTGTTTATAAATAATTTTCTGAATTTGTTTTCTCTTTTAGAAGTGTAACTATCCCTTAAGTGAATGGTTCAGAACATTTTCTTATATTTGACAACCATATCCAAATATTCTAGCCACAAAGTTTTTTCTTGTAGACTTCAGAGATTAGGGTGACTATAAGATGGGATAGAATGAACAGAAGATGTAGCTGCTTGGGGTTTAATGTAAAAGCCTAATAAATAGCACAGGTGGAATTTATATTCAGAAAATAACAGGTAAAGATGAGAGTTATACTGCTAAAAAAGAAAACTTTTTTTTTTTTTTTTTGAGGCAAGATTTCATTATGTAGTTGAGGCTGACCTGCAACTCACTATGTAGCCCAGGCTGGTCTCAAACTCACAGCGATCTTCCTGCCTCAGCCTCCCGAGTTCTGGGATTATAGGCGTGCGCCACCACGCCCTGCTAGGAAAACATGTTTTGATTAAGACTTAAAACTGTTGCACACTTGCTGAAGAGGAAGAAAGGAAGGAATGGGACGCTGGAACACAGTTGTAACAAGAAGGGAAAAAAAACAGCGAATTCCAGGGGCAAATGAAAAGGGGATGGCTTTGGGAATGTGGTGGGTGAGGGATCTGGATTAACCCTCCCGGTGACAGTTAAAACTTCCACATTTTTAAATTCTTTTTATTCACTTATCCCTATTTTATTTTTTAACGTAAAATAAAAGTTTTTATTATTATGGAAAGTTTAAAACATATCAAACCTTGCCAAATCATGGTGAATCTTGTTTCTACTCTTAACTCTGCCCACTTTCTTTGTTCTGTGTTATTTTAAAGCACATTCTGGCAGCATTATTCATAGCAACAAAACGAAACAACCCAGATGTTTATTGGAAGAATGGAATATTGTAGAGCTGAAAAAATAGAGAATGGCATTGATGTTGATTAACATGAACCATTCTCATGAGCATGATGTTCAGCAGAAGAAAGCCAGTAGAAGTCACCAAGAAACAGGCAGTGGAATTCTCTTCAAAGGAGGCCCAGTGCCAGGTGTGGTGCCGCATGCCTGTAATCCCAGCTACAACAGGCCGAGGCAGGAATACTACCAAGTTTGAGATTAGCCTGAGATCCTGTCTCAAAAAAAAGGTTCAAATGGGCCAGCACAGAGTATATCATTTAGGGATGTTGGTGACACACAGAACAACAAAGCAGTGCTTTGTCACAGAATCCTGAGTAGTACTTAGCCCTGGAGCCCAGGGAGTGATGTGAGGCAAGCTTTTAATTTCCTAGCAGTGTTTTATTTCTAGGCTGTAATGACCTCTTGACAACTCCATATACATGCTTGTATATATGTACTTTTTTCATCACCAAAAGGGAGTCTTTAAGAACTACACAGAGTGGACCCCAGTGCATGTTGAGAAAAACTCCTGGTTGCTAAATGTACTGTTGAGTACTTTGTTCAGAGTAGAGCTTCATGATGTAAGCTGGGTTCCAAGATGCACACCTATATTTCTGCTACTCAGCAGGCTGAGGCAGGACAATCACAAGTTTGAGGCCATCCTGGCCAGTGTAGTGACACCTCATATCCTAAATAAAATTTAAAAAATAACAAAGGGTTGAAGAGTGTAGAAAGGGCTAGCTTCAGGAAGATGTGACCACGCGTGGGGAAGAAGGAACACTGAGAAATTTCCTTTCATCTGCGAGAATGACCTTCCCTTAAAAATACTTTGTTTTTGATGGTATTAAAATAAGTATTCCCGAGCTCAGTGATTTGGGTTTTTGCCACGCAATAAGAGCACATGCCCAGCTCGGTGTCTGGACTCCCTGTGTGATTGCCTTAGGCTCTGTCCCTCTCAGCCAGGCGCAGTACTGCTTGGACTCCGAGGGGGAGGAGGGCCTGGGGCAGGGTGGCCCACGGATTGCCGAGAATGCACCGCCATTCTGTCCCCGCGGCAGTCTTAGCGCACTTGGTGCGCTGGTGAAACACGTCTGCTGCTGAAGGCCAGGGCCTCAGTGGTCAGAGCCGCGGGGTTTGCGAGCCTCTCATCTCTCAGCACCCAGAGCGGAGCTTGGCGCTCTGTGTGTCCCAGGTCCCTGTTGGCCGCTTACTGCCCGGGCGCATCCGGACACCCGCCTGCTGCCTAGACTGGGCCGGCCTGAGCTGAGCTGAGCTGAGCTGGCTTGTTTCCGACGGACACTGGCACGTGCACCGTGATTCCCTTCTGAACCGATTCTGGTCACGCGTTGTAATCTTGCAAGTCCTGCAGGGTAGTTTTGGTCCTCGTAATATGAAAATATGCACTGTTGCATTTACTTCAGATGGATTTTATAGGTGAAAATAGCAAATTTTGTATGATTGTCATAAATAAAACATTTTAATACTCAGAAAAATTTATCAAGGCCTAATTATCTCTAATTATTGATGACATTAATTTTGCTTAATGAGAAATTAATTTTGGTAAAAATAATGACAATTCAAATTAGGAAGTATGGATTTGTGTTCTTCACTGTGTACAATAATGGGAATTCTTGAAGGCTTCTGTAGAGCTTCAGTCAAGTAATTTCTTTCAAGCTTCGAGTTACCGTGTACAAAGGAGGTAAAGTCTGCTTACTGTGTGAGGAGGAACCCTAAGAGAGTGTAGGGGCGGGAGTGTGTGCAGCGCAGCTGTAACTGTGCGTGTTGTTCGTGCGTCTCCTGCGTCAGCTGGGAACCTCTCCACTGCACCTGGCAGCGCAGTATGGTCACTACTCCACCACAGAGGTGCTGCTCCGGGCCGGCGTGAGCAGGGATGCCAGGACCAAGGTGGACCGGACGCCGCTGCACATGGCGGCCTCCGAGGGCCACGCCAGCATCGTAGAGGTCCTGCTTAAGGTATGCACGCCTTCTCTGCCCAGACCCACTAATGCGGCACGGTTTTGTACGAAGAGGAGAGCTAGTTTTTTTGAATGTCTACATCCAGTTTTATCTGTGGTATCTCATTCTTCAGTGCAGAAGCCATCAGATTAAAATTACTGAGGAGTTTTCTTTGGAGAGGGGAAAAAAACTTCCTTGAGGAATGCTCTTAGTTAAGTCAGACAATTGAAGGACAGTCCTGGGCCGGGGATTTAGCTCAGTGGTTCCACTGCCTGCCTTGCAAGTGCAAGGTCCTGAGTTTGATCCTCGGTACCAAAAAAAAAAAAAGCTCTTTGAGTGAGGTTCTACAGCTTTGTCCTAAAAATCCTCATGGAAGAGAGCAGAAGACTTGGATAATTAACAAACAAATTCATGGGTGACATAAATGGGGATTTATCTCCAACCATCATAGATGCCAAAGGGAGATGGAAAAAAATTCTGAAACAGTGTTAGATGCTGTTCTTGACCCTTTCGTCCTGGCCTCTAGGTGAACCCGTGCAAAGGAAATACAGTGCAAGCAATATGCAAATCACGTGTAATTCTAGGTATTTAGCTACGCTTAAGAAATAAAAATTAATTTTAATATTATATATTAAATTTAATGTTGTATATACTCTATCCAAAACATTTTCTTGTTGATATGAAATTATTAATGAGCTGGTTCACATTCCTTTTTCTGTATTGTCTGAATTCCATTGTTATACATTCGGGGCAACCTTGCCTAGCTACATTCAGGTGCTTCATAGGCGCAGGTGTCTACTGGGTATCAGGCTGAACAGTGTGTCTTTATGTTGTGCTGGTTTTGAAAGCAAAGGCTATTTTTAGCTAAATGAGGAACTAGGGGATCACCTCCCATATAGCATTAGACAGTTCTGGGGGAGTGTTCCCAGTTTTACTTCTTACACCATTCTTAGTAACTGAAAAAAAATTAGCTGAAGCTGAGTAATTTTGAAGTTTTGAATTTTAATTTAATTCATTTCAAGAAATTAAAAGGAAAGCAGTTGGGGAAATTAGCATAATAGACAAACGATTCAACAACAGAGAAGTGACAGTTGCTGGAGCATGTATTTAACACACACACACCAGAGAGTTTGTGTTACTTGTTCTTGCTTTAGAGCACAGCAACTGGTATTTCCATGTCAGGAGTTCTTTACGTTTCGTGTATTAGCATTATGTAATTATTTTATTTTAAAAAATCTTTTCTAGCACGGCGCCGACGTCAACGCAAAGGACATGTTGAAGATGACAGCGCTGCACTGGGCCACGGAGCACAACCATCAGGAAGTGGTGGAGCTTTTAATCAAATACGGTGCTGACGTACACACACAGAGCAAGTTCTGTAAAACTGCTTTCGACATTTCAATAGACAATGGAAATGAAGATTTAGCAGAGATACTACAGGTAACTTGTCTTTTAATGTAAGGAAACAAAGGGAGCTGTGTGGATAGACAGTTTTCTGTCAGATGATTTAAAGGTTGTAGCTCTTCATTTTGGACTCAGTTACTTTAGACAGTGCTTTTTCTCTTTCGCTTCCTCTTTGTCTATTACTGTTCATTTTCCTGATGGTAAGACAACAATCTTTATGTAACAGATGAGATAAGGTGATTACATTTTCTGTTTTAAATTTCTGAATTCCCTTTTGAGGCATCTTCTTTTTTTATTTTTCTTACATATTTGGGTACCATATGGTTTTTCAAAATCTGTTATAAATTAGTTTATAAAAATTAAAATTTTAGCTACCAAAATAAGGTCCTTTGAGTGAGTGATGCAGTTATCATTCTGATTTTTCATCATCCTCTGAAAAATCTATATGTGTTCATAGTTACTTTTGCTTGAACTGGCATTACTTATCTTTACTTCAACTAGAGGCATTTGATATAAATTATCTTACTGCCTCTTCTCGCCTATCTTTTTGTAGAACTCTAGTCTAAGATCATCTGACTTTATTGAATTTCCATGGGTTATATATAAGATGTTTTATGCTCAGGAAGATGAATTTTCCCATGCCCTTTCTTGGTTTTAAATCTGTGGGAGTGCAGATTGAGGGTTGGGGTTGAAGGTAGGGAGAAGTTTATTAGGGATGCTGTGCTGTTTAGGGTTACATGTTGCCAAAGGTAGCAGAGGAAATACTTGAAATAATTTCTGTAGCTATAGAGCAGATATAGAACCTTCCAGTGTTCAGTTTTTCTGTGATCTGTAAAAACCTTTCAGGTCCCTGTTTCTCCTGTTAACAGTTTTGCGCTTTACTCAACATGGCATCTTGGGGTATAAATTCCTAACAGTATTCTCCCACTGCCCTGAGCCCATAAACTTATGTTTTCATTTGTATTACATGGTCCTTCTTAGAGACTGTTCTTTCTGTGTGTATTTGTGCTACCTGGAGGATCTGCCAGATGTTCTGGTTATAATTCTGAAAACCCTGTCTGTGCTACTGTTGCCCTAGATTGCTATGCAGAATCAAATTAACACCAACCCAGAGAGCCCCGACACTGTGACGATACACGCCGCGACCCCGCAGTTCATCATCGGACCTGGAGGGGTGGTGAACCTAACAGGTCTGGTATCTTCAGAAAATTCATCCAAGGCAACAGGTATTGAGATGCATACAGGATAGCTGTTGGGATTTTGTGCAGTAGTAGGTACTCCTCCTTTTAAGAAAGCACTTTTGGAGAATCAGGGTAAGATTCCATCAGCTACCTTGCTATCTTTCATATTGGCAAAATTCTTTCTAAAACACTCTCAAGAAAGGTGATACTACAAAATGTACTGCAGAATGTACCTTTCAAAAACTAATGCTGTCCAAGCTTTATTTAAGAGTTGAGTAAAATAGAGTACAGCAAGATAACTATGTAGTGGATTAAGTTTGTTAAAAATTCCTGTTTTTTCTTTCTTTGCAGATGAAACGGGTGTGTCTGCTGTCCAGTTTGGAAACTCCTCTACGTCAGTATTAGCTACATTAGCTGCCTTAGCTGAAGCTTCTGCTCCATTGTCCAATTCTTCAGAAACTCCAGGTTAGAAAAAGGAGTCGAATGTGTACAGTAAAAGCTGCAGATTCAGACACCTAGGAAGGTCTGGAAGTTCCAGGAGAGGCTGGCGTGGGCAGAGTTGAGGTTATGTCCAGCCACAGGGCAGGGTGCGGCAGGGGCAACAGTTGCTGGGCTCCAGTGGATTAAACAGACTGTGTGGTTCATGGAAAACTTGTCTGTTTACCAGTTTGTGACTTTTTAATTAAAGCCAGCATATACCTCTGCATGAAGTTATTGTCATTTTACAAATTGAATTTTTAGTAGTTCTGTTAGAATGATACAAAAATGTTGCCTTGCAGAACTAAGAAATAGTGTACACAATCCCCTCAGAGGGTTACTTACTAGATGATGACATACAATATTGGCAAATGGCTGTTTCAGGCAAGCTTTGCTTTGTATTGACCTGAATTACCTGTTGCTGTAAATATTTTAATCAGGAAATTTAAATCTCAAGAAATATTCTCACTGTAGTTTAAGCCATTATGTTTGAATTGATGATTATATGATACTAAAGAATAGTTGTGGTTTATTAGTTTTTTTTTTAAAATTGATCAGTAGTTCATTGAACACTTTGTGCTAGGTAGACACTGTTGTAAATGTTTACAATCTCATTGAATCCTCTCATTGTTTTTTTAACTTAGGAGGAGAAAAACCATTTTTTCTCTGCTCTCTTCTTTTAACTAATTGATGATAACAGGTATTTACCCATTCTCCAGCTTCTTCAGCATTATAATCAAGGCCTTTTTATTAAAGAGTCTTCAGATTTTTCTGAATTACTTTTGGTCAAGCGCAGTGGGTGTATCATCACGTTGCTGGACTGTTTTTATAGCTGACTCCTGGATCTCTTTAGCACCTTTGCAGTCGCAGAATTTATCAAAGTAAACTGGTTCCAAATCTGGGATGTGGCCTCGTGGTAGAGCGCACTCTCAGTGCACAAGAGGCTGTGATTCAGTCCCCAGCACACAGAAGAGAAGGGACAAAAAGAAAAACTGATATTTCACTGTTGGTTTCTATTTGGTTAAACTTGAACATTCTAAAGGTCAAATTGCATGTATCTGAAAATTAAATAGATTTGCTTGAAAGTCAGCTGACGTTCAGGTTTTTGCCTCAGTGAATTGGTCACACTAGCTTTTCTAATTTCTCCTACCCTATTTATTATCGTCCAATTTTTGAGAATTAGTAATTTCAGCTGATTTTTTGGGGGGGTATACTGGGGATCAAACTCCAGGCCTTGCACTTGTGAGGCAGGCAGCGGAACTACTGAGCTAAACCCCAGGCCCTTAGATGATTTTTATTGTATGGGACCTACAGTATTCTATGGAACACAATAAAATTTCACTTCAGGGCCGTATCAGAGTGGTGTGTTTTAAAATATTAAGAGGTTGAATGGAGTAAAAGTCAAGGTAAGTGTGTTACCAGTAGCAGGCTGAATGTGTGAGTCCTGGTGTCTTCCTGCTGCTCACTGCCCCACACTGCTGGGCGAACCTGCCCCAGGTGACTTTGTTGCTTCCTGGGTGTCCAGTTTCTTTTCCTACCAGTCATTAGACTCATCCTGATTTTAGAAATGTTTGAAAATACATAATGATTTTCAAGGGCGTCTTAGGATATGAAAAATGTATTTCACATAAGATGAAACAGGTTTGTGGAGATTGAGTAGTTTTTTCTGAGGTCACATGGCTGTTAATGATGCAGGGTTTGTGCTCACCATCTACTTCCCAAGTTGCATGGCTGTAACCCCTGTGATACACTTTGCTGTGCAGTTTCTTGAGGCAATCTTGGGCTAGTCTCTGAATGTGTGTCCTTTGGTTTATTGTGGGAATAACTGTATGTTTATCATTTTGTCTTCTAGAGGGGTCTAGCTTTTTCTGGTAGGCTGTTGCAGTAAGTGTTCTGCTGCCATCTTACATTTGTAAATGATTATAGATGCAAATGTAGTGTGAGGCCTGTCAGTACACTGCTTGTTACCGCTCATATTCTGTCTTACCAGCAGAGCGATACAAGAAACATTTCAGCAGCAGACAGCCGTAGTTTAGGTAGAGACTGCTGGCTGGCTTGGTCTGGCTTTCGTGATGTCAGTAGGACCGTTTGTCTTACAAAGCAGATCTTAATGTTAATCACGGAGAACCTCCTGCAGACTGTTAAAGTGCTCTTGTTGCAAAACCAAAGATGCCAGTCTTCTGAACTGTGAGCAAACGCAGCTGCACGCCGTTGGCACCGGGAGGTCAGCATGTCTTGTGGGTCACATTGCTGTTCAGAAGAGAGATCTTGGAGAGCTAAACGCAGCTGCACGCCGTTGGCACCGGGAGGTCAGCATGTCTTGTGGGTCACATTGCTGTTCAGAAGAGAGATAACTTGGAGCTGGAGTGGCAAGGTGGGTGAGCTGTGCTGCAGAGAAGGATTAGAACTACGCACATAGGAGCTCGCTCCCAGTCACGCCATGCTATTGAGGAGGTCATTTGTTTTCTAATGTCTTTCCAAAATGGAGACCGGAAGTGGGCAGCTGTGTGTTGGGAACTGCAGTAACGTTCTTCCTCGTGAGGAAAAGCTTACCTTGGCACACACTCTTCTAAGGGAGTCACGCTGTCTTGTCTTCCTGCCAAAGCTCCAAGGCTCCACGGGGTGGGTCGTGGGATCTTACTAGAGAGGAGTAAGGAAGAATTTAGGAAAATGTTGGGAAAGAACATTTTAGGAAGTGAAGCTTTTGAGGCAAAAAGCTTTTCAGGGAACCCAGAACCCAACGAGTAGAGAGTAACCCAAGGTTGTTCAGGGAAGATTATACCAGACTTTTCAAATGATCATGCTGCCAAGCCTGATGGAGCAGGCTTGTAATTCCAGCACTCGGGGAGGCCGAGACAGGAATATTTTGAGCTTGAGCCTAGCCAGGGCTATTTAGCAACTTAGCAAAACCCTGTCTCAAAATAAAAAATAACCTGGGGATGTAGCTCTGTGCACAGCCCCTGAGTTCAATTCCCTGTACCACAGTCAGTAAGTAAAATAAACTAATCACCATGGTAAGCTTAGAAGAATGTTCTGGAAGGTATTTAGTTAGAAGTCTGATACAATCAGGAATGAGATGCAGAGAGTAAGAAGTCAACAGATTTGGGAATTATTTGGGATGTAGAATTCAAAGCTATAATTGTTTAAGATGTAAGTCTTCTGTCTGTGGGTGTAATTATCCGGTTCTTTTAAAAATGCCCTTAGGCGAGACTCTTACTCTGTCATTGTGTCCTTGCAGTCCTCTTAGCAGCTTCTAAGAGCGAATATTGCTTCGCTTTACATTCTCCTGTATCCCTGTTGTTGATGGCTTTTGTTGTCTTTAGGTCGTCTTCTGTTAGTTGCTAGTAAGATGCTGTTTCAAACGTTGTACTGTTAGAAGCTCCCACGTCTCAGGGCCTGGGGTAGCTCAGCCGACGAGCACGAGTTCCCGAGTCTGGTCCCTGGTTCCCCACTTCTCTTCCTAATGAAATTGAACCAAGGTACCTGTTGCACGTTGTTTTTTGGTCTCTTTTTAAAATAGGATAGAAAAGCAAAATTAGCTTTAAGGATGAATTACTGGGCTTCGTGAGGTGGTTTTGGTTTTTAGTTTCAGGTGTGATGGCAGGCATACTACCTTTTAAATGTTCTTTTTTCAACAAGTGTTTATTTTACTATTTAAATATTTCTATGTAGAACTTTTGAGCCTTTCTGAGCTTTTCAAAAGACAGTACTGTTCCATGCCTTATTTCAGTTTTACGGCATTGTAATTTAAAAGTTTTGTTGAGCGGGGATCTCAGGTGTCTTCAAAGGTGCTGTACATTAACTCTCTCCCTTTAAATACAACCTGACTTTCTAATTAGAACAATGAATATTTATGGTATCACGGTTACTTTTTATCTAGGGAGTTTTACATTTTGGAATAGATGTATATATTTTAAATTAACAGTCTTTTTAGAGCTTTTAGGCTCTCTTTCAGTCTTACAGGTTTCAACATTTCATTGTTGGGTTATTTTTAAGGTTTCTGGGGGCTGTGGGGGGCCTGCTTTGTCTTCTGTAATTGGTTTCCTTTTAATTTTTTCTTAAATACTTTACCATCACACAACTTAAAAAGAAAGCTTTCAGATGAAAGGAAAGGACTCTATGTTATCTAATGACAGTCATTATCTATAGTACAAAGATGAAAGTTCCTGGCGTTGTGCCTTGATTTCGTGTGATCTCAGAAATTTCTTATATATGATTATGGTTTAAAATATTACTGTTTGTACTTCGCATTCAACTAGTGAACATTTGTTTTTTCATATGAATATTTTTTTAAAAAATCAAAGCAATAGTTAATGTGCATGAGAGCCCTAGTAGTTTTCTATTGAATCCATTGCTGTTTTATGCCCTACACTTCATTTTGTAACTATCGTCCTGAAATTTTCTTAAGTGCTTGGTGACAAAACTGAATTATAGTTTAAGGCAAACAAAAATAGCGAGAGCACTCAAAACAAAGGCTGCTTGCATTTTTAATATCCTGGGTTTCTGTTGTGACCTTTGATTAGCAAAGAGCGTTGTACCAGACAGCTAGGCCTCTGACGATAGGTGTGTCCTGAAACTGGGTCCTGAGATTTGTCTTGCCTTTTTACCTTTATGACCCTTTTGTCTCTAGAGACCCTTTAATATACATGTCTCTTCGAACTGTTAGACGCACTCACCCATGTTTACTTCTTCTTCCAGTAGTGGCCACGGAGGAGGTGGTTACGGCAGAGTCCGTGGATGGTGCAATTCAGCAAGTAGTCAGCTCAGGGGGTCAGCAGGTCATCACCATAGTTACAGATGGGATCCAGCTCGGAAACTTGCACTCTATTCCCACCAGTGGGATAGGTCAGCCCATCATTGTGACCATGCCAGACGGACAGCAAGGTTGGTAGTAGACATTTATGTCAAGTTGATGTTATTTTCAGTTCTCAGGAGATTGGGGTGTCTTTTCCACAGCACTTATTTTTGTCTTGAATAATAATAATAATAATAATAATAATAATATTATTATTATTATTTATTATTATT